CTTCTCTTGATTGTAGACTTTGACAGTGACATACCTACCTCCTAGAGAGTGTTCTTCTCTTGGCTGGATGTTGTGAAAGGGTTTTTCTTTACCATCCTCCGATCATCCACCACTGTTGTCCTCCGTGGACGTCCATGCCTTTTTATGTTGCTGAGCTCACCAGTGCATTCTTTTTTTTTTCTCAGAATGTACCAAAACTGTTGATTTGGCCACTCCGAATGTTCCTGCTATCTCTCTGATGAATTTATTTTGTTTTTGAAGCCTAACAAATGGTTTCACCTGCATGCATATGTATGTATGTACATGTATGTCCCCCCATATATATGTTTTTTAAGACATGGACAACTGACACATACTTAAAAAAAATCAAGTTCATTACTATAAGAGGCAGTATAAAGAATTCATGTAATAACTTTACATATGTTTAAATTTAATGGTTTACATGTTCTTCTCTATTGAATGGCATGTGTCCCCCAGTCTAACCCTCTAGTCTAAACTACACTTAAAAAAATAAAAAAAATTTTTTAAACCTCATCCTATTGTGCCTTGTCAAGTTGAAATTTAGCTGACATGTTTTTTCTGGCCTTTAAAAAAAATAATAATAATAATTTATTTATATAGGATATTTGCTGTCCCCCATTTTTTGTCAATACTGAAACACAGACAAACAGTCTCTCTGGATTGATTCAGTACTTGGCCACACCCCAAACCATGTGATCAGGAAGACAGATTAAGTAGTCTTCCCACCCTGGACCACATGGTGAATAAATACTGTTTAGCATTTTGAAATAAATTTGCCATAATGTTAGCAAACCTGGCTGTGTTTTAAAAAGTGTCATTACTGAACGTCCTGTTACTCATAAAAACAAGATATAATTTTTGTTTTTAGTGACTTTATTCTGTTCATATCATTCTGTTCACTGCATTTTACTGTCCTCACGATAAGGGCAAATTAAGGTTGAATTGTCAAACCCAAAACAGTCAATTCCGAAACACTTTTTGTCAATATTAAACAATGTATGGCTGTTTTGGTATTGACATATTTCAGCAGTGACATTCATTTGTTTTATTTTTATGTATAAAAAATCATAACATTGGGTAAACTTCTATAGGGGTGAATGGGAGATGACAGCAGATGCAATTTTTGTGTCTGCATTTGCTCTAATACCAAAGTAATATTCTGTGACATAATTTCCACAACTTTCCAAAAGAGGGAACAATTTTTAGAGAGATTGATTACAGTAGTCAGAGAGAAGGATGTGAAATTTGCCATCAATCTTTCGGCCTTCATATTAGAAGAAGGGTTGCAGTAGTGTTAAGTAGTTTTTTGTAAAGTATTGGTAAGGTAATATAACACAAAGTATAGAAAAAATGTATATCATCATTAAGTGACTTGGTATGTGAATTAAATGAGTAAAGGGTGTGTCATAAACATTAAGGTCACAACCGAAACACACACAAAAAAAAAAAGAAGAAGTTGACTGAATTGCTGAAACAAGTCATTTTAATTTCGAATAACATTCAAGTTAATACATTTGCATAATGGACATCCCGGGAACAGATTAAAGGGTTAGTTCACCCAAAAATGAAAATTCTGTCATTAATAACATTAAGATGATCGACAAAGTAGTCCGTGTGACATCAGTGGTTCAAACTTTACAGTCTGACGTCATCACGCCGGATCTGGGGCAGCGCCGCCACACGCTCGCGTCATGGTACTATTGTGAACGCACGTCCACAAGTGACGCAGTAGAGACAAAAATGTGGAATAAAGTCGTTAGTTGTTTTCTTTGCGCAAAAAAGTATTCTCGTAGCTTCGTAACTTTACAGTTGAACCACTGATGTCACACTGACTACTTTGTCGATCATCTTGGTACTTTTCTGGACCTTGAACGTGGTAGTTACCTTGCTGTCTATGGGAGGGTCAGAGAGCCCTCATATTTCATCAAAAATATCTTAAATTTTGTTCCGACGATGAGCGAAGGTCTTACGGGTTTCGAACAGCACGAGGGTGAGTAATTAATGACAGAATTTTCATTTTTGGGTGAACTAACCCTTTAACCCCCTCAAACGCTGTAGCTCATTCATGTGGATAACGTAATGTTGAGAAGATGCTGTGCTCTGCACTGTGAAAGTGAATTCACTTTATATTCACTTCCAAAGGATGAGGCTGTGAAGAATCAGCGGTTAAAATGAATCTTTACTACGATACCACAGCAGTATAATCACAACCTCTTGTTTTGTTCCTGTCATTTCATTTACGGCTGCTTCCCCAAACTCCGTTGAGTTCAACGCAGGATTCGTAAACCGGTTGTCCTTGAAAGATGGGTCAGTGACCAGTTTGTTTGGACCAGCTTGCTCCTCCGAATAACGACCTGTAAGTATGATTAATAATTGTTTCTTTAATGTTCTGTCGAGCATGCAAAACATGTAGTTTTGTGTGTTATGTATACACTCAGTGCAGCTGTAGGTCTCCGGCTAACTCACGTTATAGTTCTGCTAATTAGCTGTGGGCCTGCTATTGTCTAGAAATGTGTTGATTAATATAGAATGTCTGTAGTTCTTATTACTTGGAGTCATGATAAAGGATGGAGCAATAAGTTGGTTTACAAACTGCAGTGCTTTATCAGTACTCCATGGCTGGGTTCGGCTAACGCATATTACCATATTGTTTGGGTCTTTACTAAGCAGTGGGTCCGGTTCGCTGACATGTGTAAAACAACTTTTTCCCCTCTGATTCTTTATATTTAGAACAGAGTGAAGCACTATCATTGTCATAATAGAATGGATGTTCTGACATGCGTTGTACGCAGTAGACCAATCACAACAGACTGGGTCATCTGACCAATCAGAGCAGAATAACCTCATGCAAAAGAGGGGTTTGGAAAGATGAATCTTCGAACGAATCATAGACCTTTTTCACATTTACAGGTTTCTCAGCAGCAAAAGTCGTCATAGTTGGGTAAACTTCGAGAGCAGTGAATGGGAGAGTACCACAGATATATTTTTTTGCATTCCTTTTTGCTCAAATAGCAAAAGAAAAATGACTTTCAAAAAAGGAAAAAAATTGAGAGACTAATGACAGAGACTAATGTCAAATTTACCGTCCTTCCCATAGACGCTGCATTAGAAACACCCTCGCATTAGCGTTAACTATTTTTTGTGAAATAATTTGATGCAAATGTGATATAATGCAAAGTTTATTGTTATAAATGTACATACATTTAAAAAAAAATCTAAATATAAAAAACTTTCGAGGATTTACGATGCTGATGACCGCTGAAACGCATCATCACAGTCTTGTGAAAAGGGTCCATTTGAGAGTCGTTGAGAAATAACGTAAAATTAAATGCATATTATAAAAAAAATAACCTTTTTTTTTTTTTTTTGACCTTGTATGCATGTAAACCTGTTGCTGTGGACTCCAAAAACCAAATTATGAACCTTCCAAATAGCATAATAGGGGCACTTTAAAATTTGCTGAAATTGTGAAAAACATACAAAGATTCTAGTGTACCCACATTCAATTTATGCATTTCACATGCAATGCAATACAAATTTACAAATAAATTTGAAAAGAAAAATTCAAAATATTCAAACTCATACAAGCCTGAATTTGCACCACTTCTGTAGAATGGCATACACACACACACACACACACACAAACACACACACACACACACACACACATATATATATATATATATATATACCTTTAACTTTCACCCCTAAAAGGAGCTAAAGAAAAAAATATTTAACTTAAAATTCTTATTAGTGGACATCTAATAAATAGCCCCAAGCACTTTTTTTAAATTTATGTTTTATATAAAACTCTACCTTACGGTTGAGCTGTCAGTCCATGTTAAATCTTGATTTAAATTCTGAGAACTACTTCTGTTAGTTATTTTCCAATAATAAACATTCCTTTAACTTTACTAGTATCTTGGATACATTTCATAACCTTCAGGGTCCACAAAGATAAAAAAATATTTTCTATAATTTACATCTATATATATTATAGTCTCTATAATATATATAGATGTATGGCAATATATACGTTATATGATGTCCTTTACAGACATATCAACCGTATACGGTCACACATGATTTTGGATAATTATGGTATTTAAATACTTAAGTGTCTTGTTAATGCATTTTTAATGCCACAGAACGTTGCAAAACTCACACATGCAAGTCAACAAGCATACAACACCACACATTACATACTCAGCACTTCACTGCACTCAAACACACAAGCATACAACACCACAAACATTAACAACATACTCCACTCTATACCACACACACACAAGCATACAACACCACAAATATTTAAAAAAGCATGTTGATGCTTAGTTATTTGTTACAGAATGTTTACTGTTGTTCAGTAATCTGTATTTTTAGTCATTTTCAAAAATGTTTTAAGAGATTTTTAAGTTGCATTTGTAAAAAAAAAATAAAAAAAAAAGAAGTCATTTAATATTCACCAGTTATGTCTTCCACTCATTGTATAACTCATTTTAAGTACTGAGCAGTACCTAGGTATTTTAAAATACAAAAACTTAAAATTATCACTCTAAATGAGCTTAAATTTTATAATGATGTAAACAAGACTTTTATTGTAGAAATTACTTTAGAAATGTATTAGTAAAATCTACTTAAAATATTGTGTTACACCAGCTAATAAATTTGAGCAAAACCATTCATTGGGATACTCAAATATTTAAGCATTGCCAACTAAAGATTCTTAAGTAACACTAAAATTCCATGTGAAATTTACTTAAGAAGAGGGATGCAAAAATTATGCATTATATTTTTACGTAAATCTAGCATATTATTTTTTTCAGTGTATGCAGAGGAATTCAAGAACTTAACTCGCTTCACATTTCTAATTATGCGGTTGATCCACTGAAGATATGGTGAAATCTTAGTGTACACATTAGGATACTGAGGTGAATTGCACTGTAATCTATATCCAAAAGCTGTGATGCCAACTGCAGTGTGTCCACAAACCAAAGGACCTCCTGAGGAATACTGTGAAGAAACCCAGATCAGCACATCACTAAAATGCCAAATACTATATCTGTCGACACTCAGTTCATAAATTAACATAATCAATTCTGTGAATCATCTTTTGTACGTACAAAGCAGGATCCACCATGGCCACGTGTGCACATCATCTTTGAGACTGAGTAGATTGATCCCCATTTTTTTTTACATTCTCTCTTATTCAATATATACACGCTTGCCTCCATTAGACGATTGCTGTTTTGGCCGTTAGTCTGCAGTTGTCCCCAGCCCGCAACGCTACAGATAGTATCTGCTTCGACATCTTCCCCAACCTTTGGTAATGATATCCATTTAACGTAGTTATTTAGGTTGAGTTTTCTCTGTAGCTGTAATTCAAAAACACAACCACTATTAATAAAGAGGTTTAATAATCTTTTATAAGATCGAACTGCAGTTGATTACACTGCTATGTTGAGGTTAGTACAGAAGCCCTGAAGGTCAAGGTGATTTGTGGTGGTGATGATTAGAATCTGATCAGGAATCACTAGTTTTATATGTACTGATCACTATTTTGAATAACTAGTAGCATTACATTTGGTTACCCTTAAAAGCATGATGTCATTCAGATCAGAGTTCTCATGTGGGATGTAGTTCTTCACTCCGATGTGATCAGAACTCTTACTCTTCCTTAAATCATGAGCACCAACCACAACTGTCAGAATCTCATTTCTGTTGAAAAAGCATTTTGTGCTGGGTTGAGTCATGATGCTGCTCATTTATGACATATATGGTTGCACTGCAAGTGTTATGTCAGCCAAAATTATTTTAACACATGAAACACAGTTCAGACTAAACAAAACTCTTACCCATTCCAGCAATGTGCAGCAGTCATGACAAACTCATCAGAGATGAGGAATCCACCACAGACATGTGTCTTGTCCTTCTTAATAGAAACCATGTAAGGTCTGGAGTGGGGTTTTACTTCTGTGCCATTCACTATTCCCACATTCACACGAGCTGAGAGAGAGATAGTGCTGTTAGTCAGCTTATTCGGTACATACCAATTAAACATCATAATAAATGCTGTTAAATAATCAGTCTCACCAGTGAAGGTCAGGTGTGGCAGCAGAGAGACCAGCAGGAGCAGAGAGATGATGGTCATCATGAAGACAATCAGTGAGCTCTTGACAAAACACTGTATAAATATACCTGAAAGGTGGGTGGAGACGTTGAGTTGCTCACAAGGTTTGCTTTTCTTGCAGCATAAGCAACAGTGATGAAAAGATATGAGAAGGATGAAGCATGTATGCATGCAATTTGATATTTGAATATTTTACAGTTCATAATACAACTGTTATGAAGTGTCATAACAGGTATTAATGTCCTTCCAGAAAGACTGAGAGTTGTCATTTTGATGCAGGATAAACAAGGACAATCTGATGCAGACCGATTTCGCCTTCCTTCTTGTTAGTTCATGGAGTAATGATGGCTGAAAGACATGATGCTGTAAGTCCCCTTAATCAGCACATAGCAATTAAGCATTCTTAAAAAAATAAAATAAAATAAAAAACAGCTCTAAAATGATTGATTCTGATTAGCTTTTTTCTTCTTCTTCTGTAACTGCATGGCCAAAGTGGGTCCAGGAGGGTCTTGACCACATTACCAGTTTGCCAAATTGTTTCAGTTACTTCGAAGAGCTTTGCACCCTAGTACAGCAAAAGAATCCAACGCCACAAAGACACTGATCTAACTACACTGATTAAAACAAAATGATCTTTTATTATCTATAAAAAATGATCTTACTCCTGCCCTCTCCCACAGACTCACGCACAGAAACTTATCAGCTCTGCCCATGCTATTTCATCAATAAATTTTTTTCACTACTGGAAAACATGACATTTCTCAGAAACAAGACCAGATGTCATAGATAGATAGCTGAGCGGTTGAGCTATCTGTCTATGGGCTCTGGCCATGAGTCCACCCAAATATCTTTCCTATCCAATCAGAACTTTTAAACAAAGACAGCATTAATATTTATTTATTTAACGATTTTTGCATTAAAAGCAATCTGAGGTGAATTTTGAGGAAGGGCTGAATACTGCCCCAATCATTAAAATAACACCAGAAAAGTGCTATATTTTTTGTAGTTTTATTAGCTTTTCTGACTTTGAAAAGTAGAGGCTCACAATCACACAGTGGGTTTGCGAGTGGCATCTATATATCTATCTGTCTGTCTCTCTGTCTTTCTATCTGCCTATTTGTAAAGCTATAGACATAGCATCAAAGTTTAAAAACTTTGATTAAAAAATCTTGACCATCCAACATATCTGCCAGTCCACTCTTCTATAGCTGGCAGGAATCAGGCCTACTCAGAAGAGAAGTGTTAACGTCACTATTCTTTAAGTAGTTAAACATGTGGCTTCACTATTAGTAATGCTGTCAAGCTGTGCAAATTCAGATAATTCACACATGCTTACTCACTCCCTCTTTCTTCTCTCTCATAACTGCATGAGTTATATTATTATAGTTCTGAAATGATGTTTTGGAATTAGCAACAGTAGATTGAGGTGAGATGCATAGAAATTAGTTCTAGTTCAGTTCTACACCAAAGCATTTTAAGGACCAAAAAATGTGGGGGTGGGGGGAAATCTGTGCTTTAGAAGCTCCGTTTTTAAATACCTTTTTTTGACTTTTTTTTAATGATCAGTTTTGAAGTTTTCACTCTTTGCCTAATCAAGTAGGCAAGATGTGAGCCTTACTTGCTCATGTGAAGTGACTGACATGTGTCTGTCATGTAATACTTATATGTGGTTGTGACAATGAGGACACTTCGAATTGATGCTTACCATGTAATACTTTTACTGAAATAATACATTCAAGAAGTTTTCATGAAGTCAATTAACATTTTTTATTATTTTGTGGATCCATTTGAGATATGCTGAAATCTTAGTATACACATTAGGATGCTCAGGTAAATTACAGACATTAAAATCACCAAATGAAGTGAGATTTTCCACAAACCAAAGGACCTCCTGAATCCCCCTGTTTAACACATGATTTACACATGAATTAGAATCGTACATCAGTTTAATCTCAGTGAAACCAGAAACAGAGTCTGTGAATTATGTTGTGTACATACTTTGCAGTATCCACCACGGCCATATGCACACATCATCTTTGAGATTGAATATTTCACACTTCCTTTCCATTTTTCTTTACATTGTCTGTCTTTCATTATCTTCACGTTTGCCTCCATTAGGCGATAACTCGCTGAGCCTTTAGTCTGCAGTCTTCCCCAGCCAGCAACACTACAGACAGTACCTGATTTGATGCCTTTTTTATTCTTTATTAATGATATCGGTTCAACATTTTGGCTTAGTTTGACCTTTTTCTCTAGCTGTAATAATAATAAAAACAACATTTAATCACTTTTCATAAAATTAAATCTCTCTCTCTCTCTCTCTCTCTCTCTCTCTCTCTCTATATATATATATACACATATTTATAAACGTTTCTACTGTAATTTTACAGTTATAGCTGTAAAAACAGTTTTCTGTAATTTTACAGTACAATTGTAATTATTGATTTACAGTACTTTTGTAAATTTACAGGCTTACGGGCAACCAAATTTTTACATTTTACAGTACATTTTTTACAGTGTATGCATGTATGTATATGCTATGTTAAACTGCTTTAAATTACTTTTTTCCCCCACATAAATCTTGATGCACCATAAACTTCATACATTTATATATATAAAAAAACTGAAATAATTACATTGCATAAGTATTCAATCTAGTACATAAGTTAACTCAGTACTTAGCTGAAGAACCTTTACAGCCTCAAGTCTTTTTGGGTTTAATGCGACAAGCTTTGCTCATCAGCATTTGTCAATTATCTGCCATTCTTCTCCTCTCCTCTTCACCTCTCAAGCTCTGTCAGCTTGGATGGGGGCAGACACACATTTTCAGGTTTCTCCAGAAATATTTGATTGGGTTCAAGATCAGGCTGTGGCTGGGCCATTCAAGGACATTCACAGAGTTGTCTATAAGCCACACTTGCTGTGTTCTTAGGGTCATTGTCCTGTTGGAAGGTGAACCTTCTGCCCAGTCTGAGGTTCTGAATGCTCTGGACTGGGTTTTCATTAAGGCTATCTCTATATTTTGCTGCACTGAGCATTCCTTCTACTCTGACGAGCCACTGAAAAACAGCCCCACAGCAAGAGGTTGCTACCAGCACACTTTACTTTTGGGATGGTACTCTGCAGGTGATGAGCAGTGCCTGCTTTCCTCCAAACATGATGCTTGGAATTGAGGTTCATCAGACCAGAGAATATTGTTTCTCACAATCTGGGGGTCCTTTAGGTGCTTTTTTGCTAATTCTAAGTGTGTTTTCATGTGTCTTCACTGAAGAGAGGATTGAGTCTTGCCTCATCGACATAAAGCCCAGATTGGTGGAGTGTTGCAGCGATGTTTGTCCTTCTGTAGATTTCTCCCATCTCCACATATGATCATGGAGCTCAACTAGAGTGACCATCAGCTTCTTGGTCACCA